AAACTTTCAGATTAAATCACATATCGAAAAAAAAAAGTAAATAGTTTTAAAAAACTTGATATACTTATACAGGTCATGTTCCTTGACTTATAACATTCAGCAAAATGAAGAAAATACATTTAAAAATCAATAATTAGTGCTCGGCAGGAAATTTCATCAAGTTGCAATTGGGGAAACAATCGCTGTAACACTGGATACACGGGTCCTTTTCTTCTAAAGATCACACTCCTCCCTCTGCATCCCGCTCTGCATGCAATCCTTCTAAGAATACAGATAAACAGACGACGTCACTGCCCACGATATTATCGGTAGGAGGAATCGATGCCTCTTGGGCGCGCGCTGTCTAAACAAACTAACCGACAAGGTGATATTCAAACTTCATCAAACATCCCCTCTGGACCTGCTTTAAACCAAGAAAGATGATCCTCTTAAACTAGTACCGAGAAATAGATGCCTGCTTTACCTAATAATAGTAAGCGTGTGTTAGCTATCTATATGACATGGACAATCGTCTTAGATTTGAATTAGATTTTATGTTCATTTCACCCAAGATTGGGCTGTTGTTTTCAAAATCTGTTTCTGTTAATTTTATCATGTTTATGGTATGTTTACAACTTCCTTATCTATCTGCTCTTCACCTCCTTCCTGTTTAGCCCATTGACTACTGGAATCGAGTGGTCCCTGTGTTATGCATATGGGAAATAGAGAATTCAGTATTTAACGGGTTAACAGTGCTAATCCGGGGCAGTTGTAACGTGTGGGCGGGGTGGGGGAGGCACTCTAACGAATTTGAGAGCTTTATTTGTAGAAAGGGGCACCTCTGTACCCAAGCATCCTAAACCATTATGGATATAACTCTTGGCCAATTTCATGATTTTGTATAATTCCGGCAGTGAAGCGATAAATTTTCTATGAATTTGTTGACCTTGAGGGAGTGCAATTGAGCCATACGAACGAATGAAAAGAGTAGTTATCATGCTTATCTTTTTTTCTTCTTTTTTTTTTGAGGGGGGGGGGGGGGTAAACGTTGCTTTGTAATTCTACTAACTGCATGTCATGTCATGTAACGACATAGTTATTATATCTTATCATCCTGCTGTCTAAGCGGTGCGGGATCCGGCGGGTATATTGGCATACTTATTAAGAAACACGCGGTGTGATCTCATATCGCATGAAGAGCATGATCAATAGAATGCGAAACGACTACATGTTTATTTCAAAATGACAGAGTCGATCGGTGTCTTCCATCGATCGAAGATATAAAATTGGATTCTTGTCTTAGTTGCCCTCAAGACATGGAAAGAAAAAGAGAATGAAATGCATCTCGTGATTTTTCTAATCATCCCTCGCTTTAATCAATCGGCTTTGTAAACAGGTGCGACCGAAAGAAAACGGCGAGTTTTATTGATTATACCAGTACTTCTACGAATAGTTCTATTAAAGAGAATATAGCTACGATATTTTCAACTGGAGGAGAGATAATGAAACTAGAATTGAATTGATTAAAATGTTTATTGTAAAAGAAAAGAAATCATCTGTATTGATAATGTATTATGTTTGAGAGTTAAACATTGTTGATCTCAATACAAAGTTTACCCCCTATCCACGTTTTGCTATTTTGTAACGATTGTAAGAAGAAAGTGTCAATTCAGTTCAACATTGAAATTCGATAGAATTTTCAAAAGCTTCAGTGTTTTATCTTTGTGTATCTTTATTTCTTCTTTGGCTTCTTCTTCTTCTTCTTCTTCTTCTTCTTCTTCTTCTTCTTCTTCTTCATCATCTTCTTCTTCTTCTTCTTCTTCTTCTTCTTCTTCTTCTTCTTCTTCTTTTTGTTTATCATTGAACAAAAATCAAGGTGTTAACATTTTGGTTACGCTGCTCCGCATGTGTCAAAATGGAAAGCTGTACTATGCGTTCAAACAGCTGTGCCGTATGGTTCAGCGAATTCATACATTGAGTCTATTCGCGGTGTAGAATATATTACATCCGCACTAACACATCCAAGGAAAACGAACTCCATAAATATATTGAATGACCTCTCATACCCACCCACCCCCCCCCCCAGTCTCTAGTTTTCTCTTCTTTGTCTTTCTCGCTCTCCCCTTTACTTGATTACGTTCTTTCTTTCTTTCCCTTTCCTCTATAAATGCACGTTATGTTTTTCTATCCCTGAGTGGGGCAAATATATATACTCTTTATGAATTTGCTTAAATCATATCATAAAACCTTTATTTTTCCACATCCATTACCCATTTTTAGCCTATGATAATGTTTCACTCAATCATTGAGTTATTAATGTAAATATGTATTACTTTTATGGAAATAAAAACCTCGCTTGAGGATAAGATAATTTTTTACCCACTTTCGTTATCCAACCATCAATATTCTTTGATCTAAGATGTACCTACTGTTTTGTTATGCATTAATGACTTTTTAATTCTATTGTCTTTTGTGCAGCATCCTTGTGTTATTATTTATGTAAATTGCACTCAATTCAGCCGCTAAGGCTGCCATGTATAACTTTTTTTTTTATACCACAATAAATGAATAAATATACAATTGGATATAGTAGATTCAAATTGATTGATGAAGTCATCTCTGCCATTTCTATCAATATGTATGGGAGAATTAAGTTGAATTGTGAAAAATCATCAGAGTGACTTTTAAACGTAATCCTTTTCATATTGGATGGCAGTATTGTAATATGCAAACATATAAATACACTACCTTGCCACTCGTAACCCCATAACAAATAACAGGGACTTTCTAATTTCAATGAATTTGAATAATATTTGTGGAATGATGTATCGCCTTTCAGACCCACGATATCTCCAAGCGCTTTAAGGATTATCACCCCAGGGCTGCATGGAATCTACTTCTCGGGCTTGGAATCCCCCTGACTTTGGGTATCTGCAAATCAAAAGACTCTTGGAAGCGATACAAAGGGGCAATATAAATATCGTCCCTCCCTGGAATCGTAAACGAATCGTACTCTATTCCAAACTGTACTAAACACATTACACATTTTCTATGGAACGCTAACTTTCTTATTTGTCAATATCAGGGACTTTTAGATTTGCACGTCGACATAGTGGACTGCTACGTGTGACGTCATTTGAGGCACTGTGACGTCCTTTTAAGGCATTGCCATACCTTAAAATGACGTCATACGTAGCAGTCCACTATGTCGACGTGCAAATCTAAAAGTCCCTATTATCTGATGTCGAGGATCAGGACTCGGATCAGAACAGATACAGAGTCAGAGTCATCTGATTCAGGCTTGCCCGCGCACACAATATAGCCACATTCTCCTCTCCCTAGGGAACATTCCAGTCAGGCGCCAGTTTACAGACGTGCACAATGCAGACCAATCTGACATGACGTAAGCATCCTACAGGATACCTTTTATAAACCTGGGTAGAGAGAAGCAGGAGAAGCAACATTACCGACGAACCCGGCACGTCATTTTATGGAGTGTCTATGGTAGATTGTAACATACTGGCATTGTACATGCATGCATGTTACTTGCGAGTGGTAAACAGTACGTAATAAAGAGATTTGTGCAAGAATATTAAATATTACTGGCATGTTCAGAAGTTGATTTTGGAAAAAAGGAAATATTTCTACTGTTTTGCTTAGCTTCAAAATAAAATTAATGGTTAAAAGGGGCTGGAGAGGGAGGGGGGGGGGGGGGGGGGGTTAATGCCTACTTCATCCATTGCTCTGGACACACTGCTGTGTATTACACCGGTTTTTTTTTTTCATTCGGAATCTGTGGGCGTTTTCCGGAGGGCAAGTCAATAACATCTCTTCTTGAGGGGTGTTCGATGTTGATTAAGAAACGGGTAAAAGTGAGAAAATAAGAAGGCTAGACGCACAAGCATTCCTGTTATGAATGCTACTTCCAACCCGCCCCTGATTGCAAATGCATACCTTGCTTGCAAAACCTCGTAGAAAAGGGGAACATATCCTTAAATGAGTTGTTCTCTTTGAATATATGACTTTTGATCGGCGTTTTCATGTCTCCGTCATACTGAAGACTACTATAGTGTCATTTACAGTAATACATTCATAGATAATACAATGGAAAATGACGTGTAAACATAAAAGACTATGTCATCGCAACGAATAGCCACTTTGTTTGTTCTTCAAATTGTCCCATCTTAATATCAAGATGGGGTCTTTCCACCTGAAAAGGATTGTCTTCTAATGAAGCATACTATCCTACCAAAACAGGTAGACTAAACCTACTTCAATCAAACACCTTCTCAATACTCGCGCGGGGAATGAACTATTAAATGCTCGCCACGTATCTAATTGCTATCATGTCACTGTATTATGCAGTCACGTACGTTTAAAAGCATAACACAAAAAGTAAACACAATCTTTGCCCAATTGCGTCAATTATTATCCGTCATCTGTCATCTCCTCTGTTTTTATATTTTTATTACGATGGGTGATTGACCATAGCACTCGATTTCTATGTTTTATCTCTTTTTCTGTTGGAACTTTTATTTTAGACAGAATTTGCTATCGTAGTAATACCCAATCTTGAAATTCTCAATCTGTTTGATAATTATTTCGAAAATTACCATGCATTTCCTCTTGTTTCTTTCTCACCTTTCGCTATCTCAATATTTCACCCCCCCCCCCTTCTAAGCCTGTCGATACGCGGAAAATGTTAAGGGAATCTCTCTCTCTCTCTCTCTCTCTCTCTCTCTCTCTCTCTTTCTCACGCTCACTCTTTCCCTTCCTCCCTCCCACTCTATCTCCCTGGCATATTAATTGTGTCCTTAAGTTTTAGCATACACCCATCTTTACTTCTGGGTGTTCTTTCTTCATGCAAGAGATTTGCCTGCTAATAATCGTACTAACAAATGAGCACGCATGCGCAGTGCATATCGTGTTCTCTGATTGATGGAACCATGATGCAAGCATGCGCACGGGTATACATAATCTACAGACATATCACGAACAATTTACCTTTTCATTTAACACCAGACGGTTGCACAGGCGAAAAAAGAGCGCGCAAACTTCAATAGAAAATCTGCAACCGCCTGTTCTTCCATCTCAATCTATACTTGGATATAAGACGAGATTGAAGCCAAACAAAAGGAGAAGGAACGCTGATTCGGAAGACTAATTGGGCTTAACAGCAAAGGAAATGTGAGTATATTATGAGTATTTTGAACGGTTGTCTTGCTTCGGTACTTTCAAAAAAATTATCAATTTATCTTTTTCAAAATGACGAATTAGGGTTTCATAATATTGGAGTTTATGCTACCCCCTCTTTATCTTTGAATATAATTCCATATATTGCATTTGGTTTTCTTGAGCAAAATGATTGCAAAACAGATTGTGTTACTTGGAGGAGAACAGCATACACTGATATTATCTACTTCAGAAAAAAAGCAAAGAGAAGAAAATATTGTCGTTTTTATTTCACTTGCTTTAAGCAGTTAACATTTTGATTACAAACACAGTTAAAGATTGTTATTGCCATCAAGGCCTTGATAATAGGTGACTCTCATAAAAAAGGACCTGATTTAAGCAAAAATCCAAAATATTAGGTTCAGAAAATTACCTAGGCAATAATGTTATTAGCTTGACTAAATGTGAAGGACCTACACGGCTCTGATATGAATGGTTAGCTCTTGGTAAGCCTTAAGGGCACCGTACGCCAGACGATCTGATTACGATTCCCCTTTCGAAGAATTTGCAATGGGATTTGATATGAACATTCAAACTTCGAAAATCTTAATAGTCATGTGATTAATAGAATTTAAATTTCAAGGGATATCAAGCTTCCTTGGAGGAGGAAAAGCGATTGTCTGTGATCAAAATCTGATTCGGCTTTAATTATTCTGGCAAGAAGACTTAAATGCACTAAAAATTCCAGTCGTTGTATTCTTATGATTCAGGAAGCTAATGTTCTCTTAGATTTCCGTATAAAATATAATTGCAATTTCTTCTAAAATCGGATCGCAAGAAGATCTTATAGTGTGCTTTAGCAGTCTCTCTTTTTTAATTTCTCTACCATAAGTTTTGTTTAAACTTCTGAATTAATAAGTAAATTGGAGATGCATTTTCTTCTACACATAATTGCAAATGGATGAGTGGTTATTGACTACTTTCTTCATCACAATTTGCATATTTTTGCTTTCGACACGAGCGCAAAAATTTCCAACAAATCAAGGGCACTTCCATCACCCTGTTGTACATCCGATAGAAATCAAGTTCAGATTATGTGATACATCATCGTAATGGTCACACATTTCAATAGGTGTCGCACAAGGCCAGTCAAATTGCCTTAGGTTGGGCTTTCGAAATTAGTTGCTATCGTGTTTGTCAAGCTTATTAAAAATGAGTCGTCCGTATCGTAAATATATAATATAGCCCAGTCAAAGTAAAGATGAAAGAAAGACGCAAGCACCTGCAAACGGCCAGTTTTCTTCATAGCCCCTCTGGGTTCAAAATAGTATACTAGTGGCCGATCTACGCGATATTTCAAATGAGGTGATATTGAAAACGAGAGAGGAGGCTGTTGTCCTTTCATTAGTAAAAAGGTATTGACATTTTCTTGATTGTAATGAAAAATAAGACGCATCTAACTTTTATTTGTTTCTCCTATCAATGCAAATTTGTAATTACTGACATGATTGATTACTTATGTGATTGATTTTACTGATATGATCAAATATTCATAATTTGATATCAAAATCATCCCCGAGAGTAGTTGACAGCTGGGTATATGGACGAATAGAAAAATGAAATGTAACTTTACAAATTGAACAGAACAACAACAACAACAACAGCCCCTCCCCCCCCCCAAAAAAAATAAATAAAAAAATACTACTTTGAAGTTTACAAAATGGAGGTCTGTTCTGCTTTTTTTATATTCATCTATATGTTTTCATTCAGTTTATGTATTATCATTGGGAGACTCGACCATCATTTTTAAAATCGATCTATAATTCATCATAAACACGAGCAATTTCCCTATCAAATCCACATAGAAGGCAAAAGATCAAAGCACCAAGGCTTTACAAAAATAATTTCTTGTTTATTTGTTCCTTCGTTTTTTTTTCTTTACTTCTTCAAAATAACTAAAGTGAAAATAGCATTAAAACCCGCGACAAATATGTACCAGTTTCTTTCTATATTTGTATACCGGCTATTCCAGCTAGATCTAGGTCGAACGCTTTTACATAATCTTTTGGAAATTGAAGATTAATTCAGCACCACGAACAGCAATAAAGTGAGAAAACAGGTTCGTCGTTCAATGCATTTTAAATTAGTTGTTATTTGGTGCAGGATGAGCATATCCCTCCTCTCTTCTCCTGCCCTCTCCTCAGCCATCTTTAATTTTACTCGTATCTTATTTTGTTGCGAAAAGTCACCAAGCCCCCCCCCCCCCCCTCACCCAGCCTCGGCCTGAAATATTATCAAAATTATAAAGAATAATAACAATTAAATTCATTTATTTTGTGAATACATCTATAATGTTTGTGTAAGGCTTGGTTAGAGAATCCCTTCTTCTTCTACTCCATATAATATGTCTTCTAATTTAACTTGTTATGTTGTACTCCAAAAAAACACACTTTGTAAATGCGGTTGATAGGGGTGATTTGAAATGCGATGAATTTTATTTTTTTAGGGATGACATTTCTTTGATACCTTAACAGTAAACACAGATAAAGATAAGATTATATTGACGTATTGAATCTTGAATGAATTGATTTAAGAATGCCGACAGAAAATGATTTATTGATTCATACTGAAATTATGATTCCTTCGGATCAGAAAAGGAAAAAAGAAAGTTTAAAGGTGGAGAATGAGTGGTCCCGATTCAGGACAAGCTAATCCTGTTGAAATGAATGGTGGTGTTACCGTAAACTTCGCTTAGATATGTGCATTTTAATTTAGATTGTTTTAACATTATAAAATCAGCATAATATACCGACGTCGGCACATAGTCAGCTAGCGAGAGAAGGAGATTCCAAGGTATGCCGGAGGGATGGAATACTAAACTCTTCGCTCTTATTGCCTCTCTATGAATCATGAAAGCGTAGGTTCACTTAGAAGTGTTATTATAACATATATTTACATACATGTATATTAAAGTACACAATTCAACTACAACTATGTCTCTCTCTATCTCTCCCCTCTCTCTCTCTCTCTCTCTCTCTCTGTCCCTCTCTCTGCCTTAATCTCTCTGCTTATTCCATCTCCAATGTCAATCTGTCTCTCGTATCTCTATTTTACATTGTATATTGTGATATTGTGATATTGTGATATTCAATCTTATAGATAAAAGAAATTGAAGAAAATAAAAATATACATGCGTTATATCAACATTAAATAGACTTTCAATATTTAGGCTCCTCCTCTTCATCTTTTGTTTGATAACAAGTTTTTAATTTTATTTGTTATTGAAAAAAGCAAAAGTTAAGTGATAACACGATTTAAAGGAATTGAACGATTAATACGTTTCATAACGACGATAAAGAAGCACTTGATTGATTCTTAGGTATATTATATATATTTTTTTAAATCGGAGAGTGCTGAGTATTATCGGACCTACTTTAGTAGGATCTTACTTACTTAAAGAAAACTTTGTGTAACCAAAGTAATCTCTCGGGCAATATCAATCTAAAAATGCTGATCTATAACGAAGATTAATCCGGTAATCTATAAAGTGTATCTTACTGTAATGATATCTGAGTAATGGAAATAATTAGCCGATAGCCCAAAGGGCTTTGGTTCTTATCCACTATTACCGTCTTGTCTTTACATTATTCATTGCATGAGATTATATTGATTTTACAGCTATATGATCTGGTGAATTCTCCATTCCAAACCCCTTCCGCTTTTAAAAATATTATATTTAATCATGGGATAACAACAACAACAATACTTATAATAACCATATGTCTTGTTTACCTAGGGTATCCTCATCAGTATTAATGCTGTTTTCTTTGAGGGTATATTATTATCCCGGCCTGAGGTACCATGAAAAGGCGTTCAAGGATTCAAAGAATTACTTCCTACTGGGCACCAATTCACTTACCTGATGGATATTTGAACCCCTTTTTTAAAAGAATGATTGACATTCTATGGGCATCGTTTTTTACTGTTGTTGGTTAACGGTGCTCCCCACCCCCCCCCCCCCACCTGAAAAAAAAAACCCTGAAGAGATGTCGACGATATTATTTCAAATTTTACTTCATTTTTTATGTATTTGAACATCTCTTGTGATCATCAGAATTGCACTTGTAAAAATACGACATAATAGCAAAGATGAAGCAAAACCGCACTGATTCATATTCCATATGGAGTCAATTGGTGTATTTCTTCAATGGATAGTATATTTCTGATTTCTTTGGATCACTGTGAATAGTTTGTTTTTTTGTCCGTAGAATATTTTATGTTGGATTGAGAAAAGATTCAAACCCAGGGGCGAATCTACGGAGGGGGGGGGGGGTGGGGTATGGGGTTTAATCCCCCTTTGGGTTGGCAAAAAAAGAGTAAAATTTTGGCCGCCCCCCTCCCCCCTCTTGGAAAATCCTGGATCCACTGGGTCAAACACCCCCCTCCCCCTTAGCAAAAAGCTAGATCCGCCCCTGAAACCAACTATTTTCAGATTCGCTCAGTGCATCCGAAGGCAAATTTTATTGGCTGGTTCAATTACACACTTATCTAGAATGTCACAAACTATCTAATTCGCCTTCGAGAAAGAAGATCTAAAACAATGAATATCATGAAAAACATCCCAATGTATATAAATTCAAGTCGGAATTTTGTTCCCCATCAAGGACACGCTGGTTTGGAAATGAACCCTCCTCAATGATCCTTGTGATTTGAAATTGCACGGGTATGTAAATACTAGATTGGTGTGAGGAAGCATATTTATGAGTTTTTGTGTTCTGGGCCAGTGGCATTACGCTAGAAAACAGGAACAGTTTGAAGCTAAAATTAACTGAAGGATCTTTCTCTTGAATTAATTACATGCAAACTGGCCTTGACTGGCCGTCTTTTCAGCATCATCTTATATTTATTTTATGTTCATGAACTTCTCCTCTTTCAAATTCTTAATATTATTCTCCTTTTCTTTCTACTTAATCTTCTTGTCTACATGTTTCCTTATTCTCTCTCTCTCTCTTATT